CGAAGTTATTTTTTTTCAAAAGTAGGTCCTCACTCAATCCAACGAGATGTGAAGCACACGGCGCATCCCAGAGTGGGCCCAGTTGGTTGCGCGCGCTTCAGCTACGGCTATCTTGATAACGAATCTTAATTCAGGAAGAATCAAGAGGGTTCTGAAAGAGTTCATGTTAAATTACAGAGAGGAGTACACTATTCAACAAGAAACGCAGCCTTCAGCGTCAAATTCACAAGCATGTAACCTTTAAAGTTGAGACCCGCTAAACAATTTTACACTTTTGCAAAGTTAGAAAAGGCACGAGGCATCCTTTAGTAAGATCTGCTCCCTACTTCAGATATGTAATCGCTCCTGCAAGGAGCTATAGTCGTTGGGATAGTGCTAATGTAGCGAAAAAGTACCTTTCGGCGGTACTCGGGCAAAAATCCTCAACGTGGCCATTTTTTAAATAGTGAACGTATTTAGCAGTTTTAGTTGCCTATAGAAAGAGCAAATCTTCTAGTTTATGATGACGTATTAACTTTCCAGATTGCATGAGTTTGAACGGAGTTATGGCTTTGGAAAGCGTAAAAACTCGCACTCATCACGAATTTTCCTCGTTAATTTTGCAAAAATCCTCAACGTGGCCATTTTTTGAGTACTGGACGTATGAAGCTGCTTTAGCGACCGTTTGATAGAGAAAATCTTCTAGTTTTGTATGACGTATCAACTTTTTGAATTTGACGGAAATGAAGCAAGTTATTGCTCCGGAAAGTGTAAAAACTCGTGCTCGTCTCGAATTTTCCTCGTTATTTGATCTAAATTTGTTATTTCTTATAACTTCCTGTAATTTCAGTACTGATTAGAAAAAGCTCTTCACAAAACTCCCAAATCAGCTTTCAGATTGAAAATTCGTTAACTTTGAAGAAAGTTATAATCATTTGAATATTTGTTCAAATTTCAATAGTAAATAAGCTGCTCCACGGTCAACGCCAAAGTCCAGTCAACACACAGCTGGCGAAGGCTTTTACAAGGCTTCCTTTGAGCGAAAGGGGGACGTGTAAATTGAGAACCATAATCTGTGTAGTACTAGAATTTGGTAAGTCTTGTGGAGGAAATAAACAAAGAAGAGGTGTTGTCATAGTACGCCGCCATTTCTAGTGACTAGTTTGACGTTTTTTGCTCCGTTTCTCGTTTGCTCGTTTGACAGGACTCGTCATTAATGATCATTCTTTGACTTTTTCACTTTTATACTTTTTAAACGAGTTTTTTTTGTGGACGATGGGGTAGCAGGGCTTTTTTATGAGCAGTTTTGGTGGAGAATTAAACAACTTTTTCATAGTTCGGCTTTTAAAGAGGGTTGTTTCATGGACTTCGGCCTTCGGCAGAGGGAGGGGGGGTCGTATTTCCGAATTTTCCTCGACGCCTCGCTTCTCGACCTATCTGGGCATGTAGATCCCTCTTCCGCATTCTACGAGGGACTACTTGTTGACACCCATTATTTCACACGAAAGAGCCAAGTTTAATTTCCTATATTTGACATTTTTCAATGTTCCTGAACTAATTGCACTCATTTTTAGAACCGGAGAACATTATGCGTCACTGATAAAATTATTGATATATTGATGATTATTCATTTCAACAAAGAACATAAAAAAGTGCACTACGGCGAGATATACAGACAATAACTGAAGTTCTCCCTAAGGAATGAATTGAGAGTTGGGTGCAATATGACCCTCTACCCCCTTCGGTAATTACATAAGGAATTTCCCTTAACCGAGACGGAGCCGCGTTCTCGAGGTCTAATCTTTCAGGTCGCAACCACAAGTCAGAGCCCATCACGCCTTGCGACACTCAGCTTCCCAAATGTAGCGCCTTAAGGAGCTGATAAGCCGCCGACGACTCCAATCACTTAGCTAGAAACCAAACAAAATCTAGTTGATTGTGTCACAGTATAATCATGGGACCCTGTAGTCAAACCCCCTCAAATATTGTAACAAAGACTGTGAAATACCGAGACAGACTGGACGCGAATAGAGGCTCTGAAATCGAGCTCTTAAACCAAAACCTGCGGAATTCCCCGAAGTATCTCGTTCTTATTCAACCAAACAGCTAGGAACACGTCCAACAAGATGCCCTCCGGTAATAGTAGTCTTATTTCTCGACAAGAGCAGAGTATGATAAACTAAATTATATCTATAAAATCAATCCTAAGGTTGTATCCGAAGTTTCGCCTCAAAGGGAGACTCCAGTTACGCGTATGACCGCCAGACTGATTTTCACCTTCTCCCAATAAAAGTTAATAAGTACGATGATGGACAATTCCCCTTCACCTCCCGGTCCACTACCTAGGCCACTCAGTGCCAGGCTGTCCTCCGCCTTTTCGCCACCTCTTTCCGTCCCCGACGAGCCAATTAACGTATCGAATTATAAATTCGTGCCGAAACTCTCACCAGATCTGACTTAGTCTATCCCTAGACTCTCCGGGCTCCACGCCACGTTCATTTTCTCTGAGCCCGGCTACACTAGCGGACTCGAATTCCAACCTGTCCACATTATTCGCCACCGTGGCAGTTTTTGTTGGCGAGCGATCTGAGATCTCTCTTACACACTAATCCCGAAGTCACCGAACTTGTGGGGCGACACACTAAGGAAGCAGTAGCAACGTGCTATCCCGTTCTCGGTCATTCATCTACATCCACTACCCCTCGTTGTGTCTATCTACACTGAAACCCTTTGCCTACCCAATGTACAAAGCAACATCAGTGTACTTGAGCTATACCAAAGCGGAAGGAAGGGCAGACCTCCTCCGGGTCGGCTGCTTCTGTTCACAACGCATTGCATATTGAGAATGAGGCTCGTTAGAAATTCTTTTGTGTGGCAGAACACATCAGATCCATCTGAGTCTGTCCCTTTCTTTTCAATACGTCTCGGTGGCCCGATCTAAATGATTCTAGGTGTCATCCTCAAGTTTCCAGAAGCACTAATGTCTAGCACTTTTCTCTAGCCTCAGGGGGACAGCTGAAAACAGGGCCATTTAAGGCACCCCCTCCTGCGATTCCAGGCAACGCTCAGCCTATATAGCCATCCGATCCTGTATACAGGCGGACGAATACTTCGCGCCCGCTTTTCGCGCTTGGAACGGACACAAGGCACCGAAACTCGCGTCGAACCAGCAATCCACACTTGGTTCGCGAGCTCGAAGGAGACTGATACGTTGTTTGGGGACTTCTGTTTGGGACCAAGACTTCCCGCAGAAAAGTTTCGTTCTGCGGAAAGCGAGAAAAAAACCGGTCCTAGCTCTCTACCTCCTTTCGAGGGAGGGTGTCCTATTCACCGCAAAATAAATTCTTTTGAATAAAGTAACATACCAATTAGAGTGAAGCTTTCCGCAAGCATTCTTACTATACACATAAGCTTCAAGGCAGCACAGCGTGTGGGAGATGACCACAGTTCAACATCCGTTGGTCGGTTCCTCCCTTATCTGGCGTTGACAAAGGAATGCAACTGTAAAGAGTGCATCTGGCCCACACTAATAAAAGTAAACCATACCAGAGGTAACGAGTATAACGCATTTCAAGAGCTCACCTGCACGTCGAGCATCGTGCACCAACGGGGATAGCCAAGGCTTGTGTCTTTAAGTAGGCCATCAAAAGTTCTCGGACGTCGCCACGAGTCGACTCGTGACAACCTTGTTGCAGCTCCACATGAGCTTCGTAGTTACGAAGTACGCTGACGAGAGCATTCCTCAGCCCTGGTACTGACATTGTTGGCGGGATCTTAACACTAGCTATGATCATTTGTCTCACAAATCTAATCATGTCGGAACAAAAGTATCAAATCAACGAAGTCATGAATGAAAATCATCAAAATTCATAGGTTCTAACTTATGTAAAGAGTGGACCTTGGTAACTTACTTTTTGAATTACACGAAGTGGATCGACATTACTTCCAGTGTGATGAAGCAATTGCGCTACGTGGGAAGGTGTCTTTCATGACCTCCTCAATCAAGCGCGTCCACAAATCCGGATCATCGTGTTCTGCAGAAATAGTACCATTGACGCTTACTGAAAACTACTCTACTACCCATACACATCAGCTAACACTTCATTGAGCGTCAGATGGTGGGTTCTTTGAGTGCCAGTCGTCTGGGGCTAGGGTCTGGTAATAAGGGTTCTCCTCAAAAACGATTGACTCCCTTCTCGCCCCTACACTTCAACATCGACACCAATATCCCTGCCAGAAATGACCGTAAGAACGGAAAATTATATTGTAAATTGTACTCCCCGCTGGGTCTCATGCAGCAGTATCCGACCGGGAATGACTCCCAAAATCTGCATCACTGGATACATCCCTCACCCCCCCCCCCCTCCACCTACTTCTAATCATGAGGACTGCATCATCGACCAGAGTAAAGAAGCAGAGCTGCGGGTACCATCCCCGCCGGGTACTGTTGCATACACCCCTCGAAGAGGTCTCAAATACGACCCCTTTCAATAATTGATGGATTCGATAGCGTTGTTCAACTTGATTCATCTTGGGTCGTTCAGCCTGAGTCATCTCGACACATTTCGAAACTATGTGCCAATCCCAAGAAATCAATTTAGAGGGAGAGCGGGGGGACAGGAAGGGGAGAGTGCTTGTGAAAATTTCAAACCCCGGAAAATCTTCTACTTAAATATGACCCATTCTTTGAGAAATCCCAACGAACGGTTGACCCTGTCTAAGCAAATCCCCGTGCAACCCCCTTCCTTTCCTTTCCAACGGTATATGGTGTCCGCAGCGCACTCGAAGCTGCCCTTTCACTTGACCCATCCAAATCGGTATCAATATTTTTCCAGGGGAAGGTATACAGCTTTTTAAACAGCAAATTTACAACTTCTACACATTTCCTTTCACTTCACTATTTTTTGGTGAAAACTGCAAAATAATTCCTCACCACAACCAAAAAAGGGTCCTTCATCTAAAAACGCGACCACTTCAACGTCCACTACCACGTCCTCAAAAAACCTCACCTACTGCCGGCCCTCCAAAAATGTACGCTTCATTTTGAAAAAGTTACACAAGCAGCGGGGGTTACGGCGCGCCTCGTCGTACGGCTTCAATTCTTCTCACTATTCTCCGTAATTCATTTTACAGCAAGCGATTATGCTATACGAAGTTATTACGGAAATTGCATCTTACACCACTTTCTCAAGAGCACTGTTCAACGCAGACCAGTCCACCGTACAAGACCCCCTCAAAAGGTCAAAGACAACTCTCCTAGCGGAGTCTTGACGTGCACTTAACCTTGCTTGAGATTTGGTCTTGAGCGCTCCCGATGTGGTCGTGAACGGGTTGGATATGGGCATTCTCGACACCGTTTAATGATTCTGTTTCTCGTAACAAAACCATCAGCTAGATAACAGTGAAGAAAATCCAGGAATTTGAGAGGACTCTCTCTTTTCCACGTGAAGGTGTCTAAGATCAGAAATAACATTTTTAAAGCCTCTCAAAAACTTACCCTGACAGTACTCAACAGCTTTGTCCAACTGGTTGTACTTCCTGACCATTAAGTCCAATGCATCTACATGGTTCCCACTTTTTCCAAGAAGAAGAATCATCGATGGGCGGGGCTGCAGTAGATATCCTTTCTTGCCGCGACTCACAAACATGACTCAACACAGTGCTCGGCACGGCACCTCTTTTTTTTTCCCCGCCGCACGAAATTCTTTTGTCTGCACACTTCTAGAGCCCTATTTATTTGATAGTTTTCGTTCTTCCGTAGGAATGGCATCAGTTTCTTTCTGTCATACTCCGCGTATAATCGGACAGCTTGATCTGCGAACTCGGCTCCTTCATTTTTGCTGAGAAGTTTCGTCAAATACGCCATCTGAAAAATTGAACATCTGGGTGAATACTTTATGTCTTGAAGTATAAACTGCCAAGAATGGGTATGCGGCGCCATCATAGCACGGGAAGCGGCACCTCTTGCTATTTCACTGTGAGAAACCATCGCTGAAGATTCACACTAGCGAAGAAAAGGTGTCCAGCCTCGACCTCAACATACAAAAACGTGACGTAGCGAAGCGGGGGGAGACGGGGGGGGGGGCCGAAGGAGGCGGGCATATTCCCGGCACTGCTGAGCCATTTACAAAGTTTAAAAACGCCATAACCTGTCACGCCCATGGCGAGGCGCGGTGGCTTCCTGCGGAAACTTGGGTCCTAGTCCCATGGCGAGAAACGCTGAACGTGGCGCGACGTCAAGCTATTTGATGACGCCACATACACGATGAAAATAGGTTTGAATTCAAGCGCAGAAAAACGGAAAAAATTCGAAAAAGTAGAGCGCACGATAAAAGATCTACAAAAGAAATAGCAAAATAAGTGGATTAAAAGTACACACCTGCACTTTGGGCTTGTCGAGCCATAGTTGTCATCACTAGAGCGGCCGGCACGCTGTCTTCGTTGTCCAGTAATAGTCGCAACGTTCGATCGGAGTTTATCAGCATCAGCTCGGATATTTGCTCCTTCACCTGATATTGGGAAATAACTTTCTCGATGGATTGATCCATATTATCAAGCAACGTTTGAACTACAAACCCCTTACACTGATGCTAGGCTGGGCAATCCTTCTAACCAGGAAATGAAACTGTGATCTTCAAAAAAGCTGAGAAAAAGGCTAAGGTAGCCCGCAATAGCAAATCCTTTGGATTGCGCCCCGTATTTGGCTCCCACTCAGAATCACCGGGATCATGTGATAGTGGGCTCAACCAATGCAATGATCGGAAAATGCTCACATAAATGACTTTATCCATGTAATTTGACAAGAAATTGCCAACCCGAGAGGGGTATCAAGCTTCCTTCGTTTGCAAAGGAAGCGATCTAAGGACCTACGACGTTACGTGCCTTCCCACAAGATTTTAGTTGTTTGATTACAAAACAAATAAACTTACATGCTCGAATAGCTGATATTTGTCGATCACTGCAAACACTTGCTGATCCCTGAGATTAGTATAAATCTTGATTGCGGAATCAAATTTCCTCTCATGGACATAAAGATGTGCTAAAGCGTGATACAGCCGCACTTCTTCCTAAATGGTGAACAGCATGAGGTATTGGACCTGATACAGCCCTATACTCAACCTATACAACCTATATTAAAAAAGTACCTTTGGCGAAAGGGCATCCGATTGGTCTGAAGACGAGAGTACTTCTTGAATTCGTCGCAGTGTTAAGCCAATCAGCCATCCTTGAACATCACAGTTCAATAAAGGACATACATAATGCAATACCAATGCTCTTGTGGAATAAATATACATTCCTCCTTCATTCTGTAAGCCCTAGTAAAAGCTTTCACAGAGGAACTTTCAGGACAATTTCGCTGAACTCGGTTCACATTTGACACGGTGTTAACTCCTCTGCACAGCAAAATAACAGCCTCTAAAAACTTCTGAATCTAAATTTCTACAACGGAAGACACACCTGTTCTGTACAGCGTAGGAGGCCATTGCTGGACCAAACGTTTAAAAAGATCGATGTCATTGTATAGTGCAGCTTGAAGTACCGTTTCATAACACTTTGACTCCAGTTGTGGGCTTGATGTTGGAATGAACTGAAATTTTTAAAGATTCCATTTATAATGAGATTTCGTATACAAAAATAGGATCTCTGTAAGACCAGTGCAGTTCCTATTTATCACCATTCGAACTATGTTGCACATTTTGTGTTATCGAAAGACGTAGCTTGCGTCAAGGGTACGGTCGTAGTACTCAGGGCGGATCCAAGGCGAAGATCCATAAGAACGGGCAGGGGTCCTTGAAGACCGCCTGAACACTCACCTACCCCTCTGCGCGAGCTATCCCGCAGGTATGACAGCTGCAGTAATTTCCTAAGCTCGGCTTCACAGTAGGTGAATTGGTCGCGCGACTGAATCGGCGACGACGAACGTGACATAAAAAGCCTCAACGCGATGTGAATACTGACTCTCATAGAAAAAGTAAGTTTTCGAAACTAG